CTGGCTTACATCAGTAATTTGTTCAGTTCACTAGAGACTCCATAGGGCCGTTAACCACTACACGCTTCTTGTCTATTAACTGGATTTCCTCCAGCCTTGAAATGAGGATTTCGTGGACTTCTCAATTCTAGAACGAATTTAAGCGACTGAGTGAGACCGGATGACTCGAGAGGAGTTAATAAGGGCACACACCCTGTGCAGGGCCGGTCGCCCACATTTCCCACCAGACCATATTCAGTGTAACCTGTTGATGCAGTATACCATGAATTTAATGGGAATATGACAAGGTTTGCGAAAAATTACAATCCATACCATAACTTGTTGTTCCTTCATAGCTACGGATGACACTATCTACCAGACTGTCGATCTACCCTTCTTCACGAATCTTGCCGTAGATAGCCTTTTACCATCATCCGGCTCTGGTTGGCACTCTAGTGTCTGCGCTGGTTGCTCAGGTTGGGATTGCGCGTGTTCTGGCCACAAGTAAGAATAGACGGCAGTCTATGCATGTCCCTCTGTTGAAAAGGTTATCTACATTCGGTAAGTGTTTACCGCTGCGATCCGCTCAAGAAAAGGGATGCGAAGTTTAGACATCCCTTAGGTTTCATTCTATCATGATCCTTAACACATCGCTACGGAATCCGGGTTGACCAGTTGTGATCAAAAATATAATACTACTAATGGCTAGTAATACCAAAAGCTAGGGTCGAGTGTATACAGTCTAAACACGGTCTTCCGAGAGTTCCGGCAAGATAGACAAACTTCCTTCCTTTCATGCATACCAGCGCTTCCAAGCAAGTGCTATTCATGCGCTCACAGGTCGTACATTGAAGGAACATGCTGCCCTGCGCACTGATCCCTTTGCGAGGCGTGCTTCCTCGGTAACAACGGAAAGCAGAAGAAAAAACAGCAATGTTACGGCTGAGCGAAGTCTGATAAAGTTGGAATGGAACAATCAGTGTCCCATGAACTCAATCTGCGTCTTGCAGTGATTACTGCTTAGTCAATTCGTGAAATTTATCGGAAGCTTTGATGACTTGTGGCAGTCAAGCATTATTGGCAAATTTAGTGGTCCTTGTAGAAGACCTGATAAGCATCAACGGAGTTGGATTTGACGTTGAAACTAGCAGCCATAAATGAAATATACGCCTAGTCCTGGAGAAGCATTTTACTCTCTGCTTCATTCCGACTGGGATTCATCGGGTGGATCTAGTAGGATCTGCTGTGTGTCCCTTTGATCAACAGTTTCCATTGTTCATCACACCGGCACATCCACTGACGAAACCTATGCGCATGGCGAGATGGTCACAGTAGTAGTTTAGTTTGGCCCGGTGAAGTGAAATGTATTAATCAAGTGTGAAGTAAACTCCCTGGAACTACTATTCTACCGTATTCCAATAGAAACACTGGCTTCTGATGATACTGCTGAATAAATCTGTTCTATTTTTCCTCAATGTGAGCATAACTATTTCGAGCTTAGATGGCGGAAGTAAGGTACTTTGTACCTGATAAATTCCGAAACTAGTCAACTATAGAAGTTTCACTTTTTGGGCACACGGTCGGATTGTTCAAGAAGTTTTAGGAACAACAACTTAAAACAACAGATTGCATAGGTTTGAAACCCTTGGATGAAGGGCAGAAAAATACAGTATACCTCGAAAATTGTTTAACAAATGAGGACGGGACCGATCCCAATACTCCCTCCCTAATGGGCCGATGACATCATGCTTTATAATCGACCTGGCTAACCTACGATTGGGATGGGGATACCCGTAACAAAGTTCAGCAACTCAGATCGCGAAGTCATTTGAATGCATCGGTGCTCATCCGCTTCAAGTCTGAGGAATATATAGCTATTGAATAAGAAACGAATTCGAAGTATCCATCAGTAGTTATTCACCCAATCTCCTCGTTGAAAACATCTAATCCTTGATACCTGGCTTCGTCAGTTCTCAATGAAAATTCGTTTTCTGGGTTACGAATCCTATGTCATTTGCATACGAGTGCAACAAACATCATGGTTATTCAAGATAAACATTTCAGACTGCATGAGGGTTAGGCGAAACCTACTCACCTCCGTAGACGACATTTCCCATTCCCCACTTCACAAAAACTCAGTGAGTTTAAAGCTGAAAGTGTGAACTTCATCGGTTCCCCATTGAAATTCGTCACATGAGTGATACACCTGACAACTACGAAACTTACGTGATCCCGTGTTGTTCACACTCCTTTCTGCTGGAACTGTCAGCAGACTGCCGGTAATTTGCTGCAAGGACCTGGAAACGGTGTTTCTGAATCACGTTATGACCATTTGCGATTGTATTACCCGACGGTGCAGCAAAGGAGTTTCCTGCACACATCAGATAAAACAAATCGTGAGACTATTCATTCTTTAATGGCTGTCATACTCGTCGGGTAGATTTTACCACACTCTCAATTTGAACACAGTTTTATGGGCCGGTCTTTCAAAATCACAGCTGCTAATCAGTTATTTTTGAGCCTATGTACAGCGTCAGCTCAGCAGTAATTCCCCGAAACATCAAGTAGTATGTGCGTGTTAGTTAAACGACTAGGTGGGCTACAATCTAGCCCAGACACTAGCCATAGGCACATGAGCCGAGCACACACTCATCGGACGGCTTGACGACCAGTCGCCATTTGACACCTAAGTTGTACTTTATCGACTTTCTCATTGGTAGTGCGCGCTGCAGTCAAACACGATCACCCAGTCGGGCGCGTCAATCGGTGTGTTATCGTGGTGTCAGGTGTGCGAAACAGCCAGCGCAATTGAACTCGGCCTTGTTACCACTCGAGGATGAGAACTGAATTATGAGAAGCAACGAGCGTGCCCAAGGAAGCAGAGAAGGGGGCGATGGAATTTCGGTCACTAAATATTATACAGAAATATCTGCTGGTGAAGCAGATGTAGAACTGAGGAGATGCTTTTGAACCACCCAAAGATACTTTTCTTGGGATTTTGGCCTACTGGGTGTCAAGCGATATCACGAATGACCCAGCAGAGTTTGCGGACTGAGCGTTTACCAAGTAGTCATAAGCTGCCAGTTTTTAATCAAGTGATCAAAAGATACTTCTGAGATAACATTTTTCGCAAAGCGAGATCTAAATTCAGAAAATAAGGAGGCGGTTTTCTGGCGGAGTAGGCACCCATAACGAAACACGGTAAGCAAATCCAAAAACCTTACGTCAAAGGAAGCCGACCTTATAGAAATGGCGTAATTTTCTGTTTCCTGATGCTTACTGATCTAGTATTTACCGATCTAGCGATTAAATTTGCTCCTAGACGAAAGGACACTTCGTCTTCCACTATGCGATGCGGCGAGATGACTTAGTGGTTAGAGGGTGAATTTACTGACCGGAAGGCCCGTGGTTCGAACTCGACCTCCGCCTCTAGACTTTCCCTGGCTAGGCTTGGGCAACCTGGCCCTAGTGCTCCCTTCTGATGGCATGACATTCGGTGGTACAGCTGGACGATAAGATGTGAAGTCCGTATTATTTAAGGGACAATTTACAGATTGAAAAGCTGATCTGTCGTGAGAACGATTAACTGGTCTGTTCTAGTTACATAGCAAGGGATTTTATTTAATTACCGAGAGACCAATTACAGTTCCAGAATAACTCTGTGCAGAGGAACACGTTTAAGGATTCTGGTTCGTGTACGTCTTTCATGACATCCCAACGAAACCTATGAAGGGTATTGCGTCCAAGACGATATAGCTTACTTGATGAGAGAAAACATCTCGAGAGCTGAAACATTGAATCTTCTAACGAGCATCAAGACACAAATACTGTTCTAAATTCTCTCTAAGTACAAAATACTATGAGGGGAAGAAATGATGTTAAACTTTCTTATATTGATCTGAAGTTAATGAAGTTAGGGTTCTGAAATAAGACCAAACAGTATATATCAGTATCTGTTGATGAGAAACAGGTCATTTTTTTTACCGTTATTGCTTCTGGTGTCCAAGCTTGATTCCCAAGCATGAAAACTGGTATCGCTGACATCCTTCCAACAAGCAGAAGAGTCTTGTTAAGGGGTTGTGACTGGCGAGTTCTTTTTTCCACTGTTGGTATGTTTGACCCCGTACTAGCATGCACGATGGTCAACACTTTAAGACGTTATATATGTTTCTGACTGTCAGCATCTGTCCAATGGTTTCACCTTATACCTGCAATCTGAGGTAGAATGTTGCTGGATGGGCAAACGTCATACATGGTACCTTCTTTCATTACATCTTTAAACCGAAGCTTAGACTTTAGAAATGGTTTAATCCGATGACATAAAACATAGTATAGTGTGGAATGTCAATTTCTGACCTTCGATAAAAGTAGTAGGTCATTCATGAAGGTCGCTCTTGAGGTGCGGTTTTCCATTTTGGTCAGACTCGAAGACAGCAGTGAAACTGATCCGTCACCATTAGAATATTCATGAGGATGTAAATCAAAATATGCTGCATGTGCTTTACTAATCGGATTTTTTTCACAACATCTCTTGGTGTGGAAATCAGTATGTCACAAAATTGGGTGAAAAAATTCCGCCTCTTATTGGTGTAAGGTTATCAAACAGCACAATCTAAGTGCACTTGGTTACATAGAAGATTTACCGGTAGTTCAACTGGCGAACAGTCACGTGACCTGTTCGATGCTTCTCATGCACACCCATTTATTTACAAACAGAAGTCATCCATTTTTCAGATCATCGCTATGATATGTTTTGGAACAGCACTGCCATAAAGTGAAATTAATTGGATGCCATGCGAAGCTGTGTACTGGAAAGAACTGCTTGCTAGAACGGTGGGCCATTCTTGGGCGAAAGATGGATTGCTTATGTAGAGTGCTGGCATGAACTTGTAAATTTCAGATTGTGAATTTCACCGACTACGCCACGCAACTTTGGAAAACTATTCGGATGCCGAAATATTACAATAACAAATTGTGTTTTAAAGCAACCCTGGCAGTGGTCGAAACCGCAACAGTAGGTGTGAAATGGGACGACTGTCAGCATCATCCGTGCAGGGTATAGTAAACTGAACACCAACAAAGTGCAGGAAGCTGTTCGCCATCTATTTTTTCAACTTTTGTTACATCTTATTTCTTCACTACTCACGAGGAGTCAGTAGGCTCCCACCCGTCCAGATCATTTGAGTTGAAGCACTGCACTGAAATGACCCTTGTGTGGCGCGACGGTCGATAAATACCTACATCTAATCGCCATACCTTATTTCTCAAAGGTGATCAGCTACGCCTTTCTTCAGTTCTTATTTCCCATCAGACTCATTTTCACAAGTAGGACAGAGTAAGTGATGACTCCAGTGAATGATCAATATTGCATTCGGATTTTTGTAGTAATGAAAAGTTGGCAATGGATGAACGGACATATTTATCGATTGCTTTCCTCCATACAACTGAATTGTTTTGTTGTTCGCGAACCAAATCAGGTGAGATTATTTCGCGGTTGTATCCTAACGGGGAAAGTCACGTTAGGTCAATGGACTAGTCAAATTGGCCAGTCAGTTCACTGACGAGTGCTGACGCGAAACTCACATCCTAACTTGGTGTTTGAGACTTCAATTGATCACGGTTCATTAGAGCGTCGGGGATTACATGGAAATTTCTGTTGATTAGTCTATGATATCAGTATGTTTACAAAGCCCCGTCAGTGTTTTCTAAACCGGTTACTAGGTTGACGGAAACTTGGGGCTACGCCTACCTGATGAGCACCAAGAAGGGCGAAACCGAAATCGAAAAGTTTTCAGTAGTCAGTAGTCTACTTTTTAAGGTTTCATTTCGTGCTATATCGATTACATTGCTCTACCAATAACTTTCAGCTTTTCAACTTTAAATAAAATGGGTCAGAAACAGATGAAAACAATAAACGTGTAAACTTCAGACTGTAGCTGACGGAGATTGAAAAGAGAAGAATCGTACTGTCTAGGGATGTTTTGAATACTAGCTTTCCCACACTAAGTTCTCAACTACTATGTGCGTGGAACACCAGAACGCAGGTCGGAATTCGATCTGGAAGCAAACAAAGTGGGTCCGAGTCCCGGCGTTAGAAAAGGTTATACACCCTCTTGTCCGTAGTCAACAATTTCGACAGGTTTGGCATATTTATTCACTAACTGAGGGTGAGCATAGTAAAGGGAAATCCGATGTCCCTGTCATATGAACTACATGAAGTCAAATTTGGACCCGAAAATTTCAGAGACAATGAGTTGCACTCACTCACCTATTCGAATTCTCAAACTTTCTGGTGGGTTTTTGGACTCATCCTTTACCGTTTGCACCGAATTGACCATATCGAGTGCCATTTCGGCGATGAAAGGAGCGTGGTATTTAGTCCTTATGGGACAGCCAGAGGCGATTATGTAGGCATCACCGATGGTTTCAACCTGTGGATGCACATATTCAAGTAAATTGGGATGGAATGAAAAGAATGACAGTGGTCCACCGTAAATTTGCGTAAGAAATATTGATGCTCAGACAGGTTTCCTAAAAAAACTTGTTACTCTAGCCTAAAAGCCTACGAACGCACTTGGAAAGGTAATACCAAAATCAAGAGGAAAACCGAAAGTAAAGAAAGAGTCCAAAGTTATACACAAGACTGAAGACAAGTATTGCGACAAGTGTCACGTAGGACAAACAGAAAGAAAGCTGCCTAACGGATTGCACGAACGCCAACTTGCTGTTAGGGGACACAATCAAGCTTCACTTGTTTCCACGCATGAAGATCCTGGACACTAACTCAACTCTTAAAATCAAAAGAGATCTACCAAAAGCACAAAGCATGCTAGTGACAGATGAAATGGCCGGAAGAAAGACCAAAAAACAAGACACAATAAAAGCTAACGAATCGTACGAAAAGAAAGATCGGGACTGCTGGAACTGCCATCCAACGAATCAAGCAATCAAAACAAATCAGGACGCAATGCGGCGAAGTTTCCAAACGGTCCAGTCAAGTCACGTGTGAGCAAAACTTCTATCAAACATTCAGGTTATGGATAGTAAATACTCTTTAGGAAGTATATAGACACTAGTAGATTTAAAGGAAATATTCACCCAACTACTCAATGACGATGTCTTCTGGTATGGCGACGAAAAATTTCCTATCTGATTGCCAGGTTCGGCGAATCAATAGCCGATCAACAGCTAGTGAACGCAACCGAGCTATCAGTAGTTCGACACATTGCATGGTTATTTTCTCCAAACCTTCAACTTCGAACAAATTTTGGATACTCAGACTAATGTTTTTGGGACCGCTTTCGGCCTCTACAATGATCAACCACCAGGCATACCACTTTCACGTCAGTAAGCGGTTGATATGACCATCTCGACTGTGCCAAGTCCCAGTTAGCATACGTTGCACATCTTATGTTAGGGGATAACGAATCCGCAGACGGTGTTTGAGGCGTGATGTGAAACTACCACTTAGAACCCTCTACAACTATTACGGTGGCTCTATTGTTTATCAGTTAAGAATGCTCCGAAAAATGAATCAAAATTGATTGACATATTTGCAAGATTTTCGCAGTTTTTGACTCCAAATTTATGGTTGAGCATATTTTCAAAAAACACATGAATTATTAGTGTTTCTAAATGGAATGAAGATGGCCCTGTTAGCAAATCGTGCATAAAGCTATGCTCGAGTAGAGCTTGCATGAATTTTGTGTCAAGCAGCACAGCTACTTTCAAGTGATTTACTCAAAACACTTGCCGATTAAACCGAACATCACTTACTACATGGAGGTGGCTGCGCATGCCTAAATTTCTTTAAGACCTAAAAATTTTAAATATTAAATAACACAAAAATCTCCGCCGAAAGCTGCTGCTTTGTAGTGGTGGTGAGACTGCAGCGATAGTTTTTTGCTTCGCCGGGGTTTCTGATATCAGAAAAGCTAATAGTGAGTAGATAAAAGAAAGATAAAAATAAAAGAGGGCGGCCATGATACAAGTAGCCATATTAAGAGGGGATCTGCGTGTAACTTCGTACTTTCTCCCGAGACAGGATTGTGAGGGCAGTAAATTGTTTTCTCCATATCATCAGCATTTCCAAATTGATGAGAGCGGCTCTTAAGTTTATCTTTAATAAGGAGTGATTCAATCCTGGATAAACCTCATTAGCCAAATGGACACACAGGACAAATGGACACCAACGTCTCAGTGACTGCGCAGTTGTTCGACAATAAAGATCAACGACATTTTCCTTATCTGGTGCTGAATGCAGCAAAGATCATCCACTGATACATCAGGCCCGCGTCATTGGAGAATTGAATAGCCTAGGAAACCGGATCTCGAAATTCTAATGGAATTGGAAAACGCGACGCGATTTTAAAAGATATTTTCTACTGTACTTTAGGAAACAGTCCGTGGAGGGTTGGGAGCGCAAAACGGACTGTAATCAAAAACACGTACAAAACTGTTCTCAAGAAATCTCGGATACATAAACTATCAAGAAAGGATTGGTTTGACAAACTGAAAATATGATCACCCCCACGGCTAAGCATATGATTATAGCTTTTTTGCAGCATTGTAAAGCATATCCAACTTACCCACTCATAAAGCATTTGAACCCTTATGGGAAATCCACTGGAACTGAAAAATGAGTGGCAAACATAGTGGGAAGGAAGTTTATGCGCCCAAGACTTTATGCCTGGACTTCATTCAACCAGGGCTTAGGTAATCTGGAGCCATTTTGGTGCCTGCATGACTAACATCTTCACACTGCTCAACCGTCCGTCGGAAATCGAAAGAGATCGAATGATGCAAATACCCCAACATTTAGAGGAGAACTCAACGGACCATGCTTTAACGTTGACCAGAGTACAAAAGTCTCCGGGATCAAACGATTGTCTGCCGAACTAGTCATAGTCGGCGAACAGTCACTGCCACCAAATTAGTTCAAGAGGGCAAGCATTGGATTCTCCCCATGACTGCAAAAGTATCATGGTAGTTCCCCTATGCAAAGAGAAAAGGATCCGGCAAAGGGAAGACAACCCTTTTCTGTAGCGTTGGGTGGCTTATGGAACTACGCCTACATATTCCAACATTGGCACGAGGGTGAAACAAGACGGTATTATGGCGCCAACTTTGTAACGCTCGTATATTCTCAGAGAAGTCTAGATATCTTGGTGTTGGGGTAACTATTCCGTACTGGACGATCATCTGTCTAGTTCAGAATGCTTTAAAGCCAAACGAACGGTGAGTGACTAAAAAGTTCGAATGGTGGAGGTTTCGCACAGTTGACACATCTTAAAGTGGAACTACGGCTTCTGGAGAGCTGTAAGCATTTGCGGCTTTCGAATACATGTGCTCTCTATCAGTCTCTTCCTTAAGCCAGAAAAATGTAAAATTAATAGATGCCAATGGCAGTAGAGTATCTTGATGCTCCTATTTCCGTCATCTCGACAGTATTCTCACTCTTGACCATAGGACCTGCGTTGTTGAATTCGTGTGTTGGGAACCGCAACGTGTCTGGAGCAGTCAGCATCTGCGTGAAGACAAAAATCGAGGCGTAGCGTACCATCGTATCTTTCACAGTTTTATAGGGCAGTCAGCCTTGGCGATACGCCAATGTCGTAGCCAAATTCTTGATCGATTCTGTTTGCAATACCTACCGAAGATTTTGCGCACACACCCGTCAGACTTGATTCCGAACACCAAAGTTTGTTAGGAGACATAACTTAAAGAGACGAAGGGATCATGTTCTACAAGAAGCTGATTGCTTAGGTCATATGAAACGGATGGGTAGCTCTGCTATGTGGACACAGTAAGGCCAAGCAGGGCGACCCGCGACGAACGTAGGAACACAACTGCCGGCAAGGTTATACAGTTGGTCTGCCTTCGGAAACATCTGCACAAGTGAGGTCAGACCTATGGTGCTGGAGCTTACTGTAACGCCTTTGTCGGCCGAAGAGTCATAACACGCTGCTGCGAGTTTGACAGCTGATCTTATCCCCTTAGGTCTGCATCGAACTCACAGATCCATCAGCGGGGGCCCAGTTGGCTCCGCGCAGATCGTTTGCATTATCATAACTATTTGCAAACGTCCAATGGTCCAGCTGCTGCTGACAGGCAAATTCCTACACGACCCTGGGGATAATCACGTACCACATCAGTAACAATAAAGTATGAAACAGGTACGCATTTGGTTTCGCTACAGTAACAGAAGGAACTGGTATTAGTTCCTGACCGACCTGATTAAGTGTGTCAAAAGGTCATCAGTTTGTACATCGTATGGAATTACATACACCACAGAAAGCATGCAGAACTGCTTAGTGACACACAAACGCTGGACATAATTTCGTCACAAAAAAACAACGGGATTAAAATAAGTAATGTAAATCATGAAACACTTACTTTGTATACTTTATGCTTTTCCGTCAGTGCATCGAAACATGAGTACAGCCTGTTCAGCAAATTCACCACTTCCAATGGGGAAAGCCCACTGCATATATTGGTAAAGCCAACCACATCGCTCAAAAGCAAGGTGACCTCCTCAAACTTCTGTCAGAACGAAGAGGTGTTGAACTAGAAAGTTATATGGCCTAACTCACCTTGATGTCAAAAAGCCAGACATAGATAACCAGAAAAAACGCCTAACGCAGTTTATTTTTAGTCGTGTCTCGTGTAACATATTTCTTCAACATCCTTATTCCCTAGCAGTAAAATCTTATAACCTTGGTTTAAAAAAGTGGTTTAGATTCTCCCACAGAATTGGTTATTTGTCCGGTTTCATCAGGATGACGGATGGTCCAGCAGTGTAAATCTACGATTTTAACCCCTGGATTTGCCTGGATCAAGGTCTCATGGACTAAAAGCCTGCAATCTGGATTTTCTTTTTCGGAGGGTTCGCAAACAAGTAGATGGTTGATTACTAACAGTTTGGTTTTGCATGTAGGCTGTTTTCCCAATACAACCAACCTCATGACATTCTTTTGAGTATGATCCATGTTGAGGCTCGTACTTGTAGGTTACGGTCATCACTTTGAACAGCTTTATCCATAGGCTGATAAGTTCTTATTAACATTTCGAGAACAAATTTAGTGAAATACTTCCCATACGTTGCCTATCGGGAATTCTTCCTCCTCAACTGAAGCTGATTAGGCAGGACAGGCACTTCATCACGCCATACAGAATGTTCATAGTTCATGTTACATAGGCGAACATCAACTTATTCACTAAGCATTCAGGCCTCCTTTTGTGGCTGCACAAAACTCACTGATTCTAGTATCCTGACTAATAACAAAGCATTTACAATCAACCCGTCCAGCTCAGCAAACGATGATCATAACTTCAAATTATGTCAGTTGCTTACTTCACAAGTAGCCACTGCGGGTTCCCCATTTCGTAGCCTTTCAGCGACAGCTTTTGGTATCATTTGGTATAGCAGTTCATCAGTTCGTTTCATTTCTTCGTCCAGATGATGCAGACTTTCCGTTAGCCGTCTGCTCTTCTCACTCTCCTGCAAAAAATAAACTTGTTATTTACTTTGAGTAAACTCAGTAAACTTGAATCAAGAAGGAATGCGAGCGACTCGGACAACCATTAACCGGTATTAGTAGGTTTTTCAGTCCATTGTGTTCCATCATAATGAGAATTTTTTATGGAAGTTTCAATACAAAAAAGAAAAACAGTTTGTCACTTTTGCCAATCTCCTCTGTAATTGCTTATTGTTACAGCGTAATCGTTCCATATATGAAGAGTTTTGAACGGATGCGTTTGACGCAACTTTTTCATTCGTTAGTCTGTTTCAGAACAAAGTTCTAATCGATGGTAGAAGCATCTTAGAAGTGTGTGGAGCACAAATTAGCGCCCCACTGCAAGTTAAAACCACAACACAACAGAACTGTTGGATCAAATAAACTGAGAAAACTTCATGAATGAAGCTGGTTTCTTCAGTGTTTATCTAGCAAACTAGGATACTGCATATTCCAAAATTTATTGTTCTCTCTTTGGTAATAAACTCATAATCACTCAATCCTTAGGAACAACACCCAAACTCACACTGTAGGTAAGTCACTGTGGTCAACTGATACATGTCTGCCAACTTGTTTATGCTTGGTAGAATATAAATGATGTTCTATGAGTGCCTCTTTTTGATTGCACAAGGCCAAAGACACACAGGAATTGTGGAAGAAATGAGGTGGTCTTACATACGGAAAAATGTTGGTAGCTCAGGTAGCGTAGATGGTAGGTGGCACAATCAACAACCCATCGCTACGCACCACCACGCTCCCCAACAACGCACCGATGATGTCACCTCGGTTGGTGATGAAACGTTTGCAATCAAATTGCCCAGCTCAGCAAATAAGTGGTCTTATGTATAGTCTGTACCTCGTCTGAACTACGCTGGTAATTAAATTTCATCAGCTAGAGCTCAGGAAACTTCGGTGATTGGAGATTGGCTGTTTTATTTTTGTATGATCATTTGGTAGGAATGAATATACGGTTAAAGTATAGGACTCACTTGCTCTAAGGCCAACTTTAATTCTGCTGCCTGTTGCTCCCCGGTTATCACCATATCTCGACTCGAGTCGTGCATGCTAAGGTCGTTTAAAAATAGACCGACTTCCCACATAGCATCCACGTCTTGCATTCTGTAAAAAGCGTTTTTAAAAGTTATGGCTAGTCGGAACTGACTAGGCTGAGTAAAGGTCAGGTAGAGTGGTTCACAAGTAGAAATTCCCATGTACGTCGTATAGACAAAGGCGAAATAACACATTGTACAACATCGAACGCTAGCAAGTTCAGACCACCAGAGATGCCCTTTCCGCCATGCCAACAAGCAAAGGGCTTTGCCTTCACCGTGCCAGAATTCATTTGACTCACGGACCACAAACATCCCTGGATGAGATTTGAAGAAAAAGTATCACCACTCTCATAAACTAATCAATGAAGAATGAAGTGAATTTTCATGCTAAGTCCTCATAAGGAACTATATCCATAAGCGTACGGAGTCCGAAATTTTACCCCTCACGGCGCCACTTTCTCTTCAGAGAGGAATCTTATAGTTCACTCCGTATCTACATGGGCGAATTCCATGAAACACTGAGCTCACTTGCGGAACTCAAATATCTAGTTTTCCGGTGCCCATTAACCCCCACATTTCCGTGCCAACAATCGGTTCAACCGAGCGCATACTGCAAACAGTATAACGATGCGCAATATCTAAATTGGACACTGATGTAAGATTCAAACTGGATCACAAGATATTGCGTCTTCAACGTCTTCGCTTAACGATGGAACCTTATTATATATCTTCCTTGCTGAGGAGTGGCGCAGTAAGATTTCTTTTACGTTTCCAACCACTTTTGGCGAGATCTTTGCGCATAAGATTAAGCTTGGACCATCCAACCAAAGAGACAAGTCAAAACAGAAGTGTGGCAATAAAAAGGGCGATTGGCTGTGCGACGTTATTAGTATTTCTTTGTATTTAGCTCAAAGCCGTCGGTTTCCTGTAATATGAAAGCGCCCCGGTTGAAAGAGATTGACTGTTGGTACAACTGAAATGTTATCACCGAGCTTTGACACCATCTTGAAGTCACGATAAACTGGAGTACAATAACTAGAATACCACCTATAAGAACTCTAAACGTCTGATGTTTCTTGTTTTACGCAGTAACTCAAACAAAAAATGTATTTACAGAACTTATCGGTTTTATGCTGATGTTTATATTCGGAAACTTTTTAAAGCAAAGGGAACTTCGGACATGATGACGAAACTCCAAACCATAACATAACACTTGGGAGAATATTCTGTGTACTATTTTTAAAAAAGGAATATCGTTATTCTGTGTACTATTTTTAAAAAAACTAAGGAATATCGTGTCTTGTAAGCAGCTTCTCGACCACAAAAGGACGTTTGCAAACGAAAACATTATTGAAAAAGGTACCAAATACACGATTTCCCTAGGATAGGTTATGTTTAGACTGAGGTTATTGTAAACTCCGTATAATTTATCCTCCATACGGTTAGCACCTGTGCATTCATAAACTACTGCCAGCAAACAGTAGTGGGACAGCAGTATAAGGATGTCTACTGTATTACACTGATGAAGAAGTGTGGATTTTGTTACCTAATGGTGGAAGATGCCCCAAAGTCTAAATATGTGCGCCAAAATCTACGAGCTCCATGCAGTTACTATACCTCGCTAAAAGCGAAAAATTTGAACTTTGAACTTCACGAGGTCTTGGTATTAATCGGAACTTTAAGAAGGACTCTCCAATCGTTTTAGGGATGAAAATATTTGCTCAGTGTAATCGAACATCACAGCACTCGCCACAAGAACACCTGTTTGTGTGCAATTATTCTTTCCTCGTCGTGGAGTGAAAAATCAGGTTTTTGAAAGATGTTCGACTATCTGCTTTCTCGAATTACACTTTTTCGAATGAAAAATGCAGCAGGCTTCGGGTGACACACAACGATATGCTGCGTCGTACTGTTTGTATCTATCTGGCCATGCCCATACCATTGTATATTAGACTGTACACAGTGTTAAAACACAATGCAGTGCTATTCTATAACAGAAAATATTATACTACAACAGAAAATAATTTTCACCCAGTTGTAACATCGCTTCGGCGTTTGGTTGTCATGTCTCCTGAAAAAAAACCTTGGGGACTAAGATACTGCTGCGTTGCTGAAGCCTCGAATGGAGCAGTCGAGATATCGAGGTTGGGTTCAAACCTTAGTATGTTTGCATCTTAACCACTGAGATATCTCGAGCTTACCTTTTAAATTACAGAACGACAATACGTTTATATTTGCCATTTTTTGACTCTCCGATGGTTGATTGATGAGCTTGGTTTTCAGATATTGTGGGCACTGTCGAACATTGTATTTTTGTTAGAAATAACATTATTTGCGTCCCAACATTCTGAGTTGAATTAGATGATAACGTCGGGGTTAGGAAAAGCGTACACAGAGAAAGGGTAACTTAATACATGGAATGAGACCAACTCCAGTATTTTGCAATTCGAATATGTTTACCTTATATTTTTAGCAAAACGTGAACAGTCTGATGTAAATGTCGCTGACCTGAAGACTGCTTCGTTTCAACGTGATTTGTCCACTTGGATGCACGAAGTTCCCACCCACTAGATACGTTACCATACCCCAATGAGCAGATTCAAGAGTAAGGCTACCTCTGCAACATTGGTTTGGTGCCCATTTTGACACGAGTTTAACCAATGTCCGGTTTCAGCGTTAGCAGATCACGGAACATCAATGTGTGAAAAGACGAAAACAAGGAAGCAAACCTTAAATCTCGACCAACCTCGTAACCTAGTCACTTGGCCTGAAGAAGCCTTTGTGTCAAAAGCGAAACGGTGCCCGGGAATAAATCTACCAAACTTTTCCGAAAAAGAAGCAATCTATTGTTTCACACTTTATCCCAAAGTTTTAACCATGGTGAACCACAGACTTGGGGGGTGGGACTATGGAAATATGACGGCTAGGTGTGAATGAAAATAGTTATGTTTAAACAGAGAAATGTGGATTCCGTTGAACATTTGAAGCTGATTTGTTTGAAACAGAAATCCGAAGCTTCCCATGTACTAGAGATCTACAGACTATCATCTTTTTCAACGATCTTTTTCGCTTCTCGTTTTTTTGAAAACCGGCTGCGATATTCATATGGCCATGGTCAATTTTTGACGCCAACTGTCTGGTTTTTGTACGATCTGGACTGGGAAAGATTCAATTACGCAATAATTCAGGCAACTAAGTCACATGACGTGCTTTCCACTAGTGATGAAGCAAATCTTTCGGCTCCATAGTCTTTTGGCTAATAAATAAAACATGAAAGCAAGCAACAGAGCAGACCGTATGTAATCAGACTGAAAATCGATGGCTAAGGGAATTTTCCAGATAAGGACTATCTAAAAGTAGGTTCGGGACTTGAACTTTCATAGATACCCATAGTCTTCGCGGCATTTGTGGGCGTAATCGGAATAAAAATGATAGTCTTGATTTAAAGTGACAATCATTCACTAGCCGACGGCCGGCACATTTATTTTCCAAACCAGTGGCGCGCCATTGCCGCTTTTCTCGCGGTATTTGCTGGTTAGGCGTTGGCAATAGTTCTTGCTCTGATCACAGGAGAAGAATAACAGGTTGTGTGGGTCACACTTAGCATTATCCGACATTTTGGTACACGTTTGCAATTTTAGTTCGCACGCTGCATCCAGGAACATCAAACGCGTTTGTAAAAAACAGCATATTGGTAAGATTAAGGTGCAGGAGGGGAGTACCTCACGGTCGTATTAAGCCGTTCCGGGGCGAGGTAAGCGACAAATACACCGAACACAGGATTGGACAGATTCTTGGTGGGTATTTTAAAATCTCTTCCCCGTAAATATAACACGTATCTTTAAGATTTGTACGACTACGAAATCAGAGCCATGGTTTTTTGCTTGGAACTATGAATTCAGTTCTTCAAATTCGAATACGAGACGACCAGAGGAGACATGAACTATGTTAGACAGAATAATAGAAGGCAAAAAATGCTGAATAATCAACCAATTTGCAGGTTACGTTAGACAACGATACCCGGTAATGGAATCTCCAATTTTAGTGGTTTTGGCCAATATCTCTACGGAGGACATCGAACAGAACTTTTCTGCTGGTTTACACGGTGACTAAAAATAGGTGGGTGACACTTTTGTCTTGATTAAACGAGATAAGCCGGATGAATTCTACTAATAACTCAATTAGTTGAAAATTCACATTGGTAGAGTCAGTAGAGTGGACTGTTCACACATTCTTGGTGGCCAAGTAATTCGTAACTACTCGGTCTTCATGTGAAATCCGTCAAAACCAACCATGATCTTGCTTTCTCCCACTGACTTCCAGTTACTCAAAACCTGAGCGACAGAAGTCGAATTCATCCAAGGGCAGCACTACAGAGATAGACCAATAAGTAAGTTCGAAAATTTGCTTTTTAAGACAGCTTTCTAGTGAGCCCACAACGAAGCGTGGGGAGCCAACTAGCTAGTGTGGTATGGTAATCTATCAAACAGAATGCTAAGTGTGGAAGAGTGTTGTCCGTTAGAAAAAGGTTTGAATTTTGTAGGTTAGCAAATGGGTGATAAGGGAGAAAGAAAAAATTCCTAGCGTGGAATCTGTGTTTCAAAAACTTCCGCCAATTAAGACGGAGAAGCTACGGGCACAGCTGGTCACAGTCCACAAGTCCCAGCGGCCAAGAGCTTCAAATGTTTCACCAGCAGAGTGAATAACGTTACACACGCCAAAACTGGTGGACAACATAGTGACTACAAAGGTGGATAAAGGTAAGGCCATGGCCATTTGTTCGAGGGTTCTTAGCGGGTTATTAATAGTGAGAATATTACAATAATAATGAACAGGTATAAATATGAGGTTGACAGGTATTTTCGGTCCATGATAAGCCTTTTAGGGCAAGTTAATTGGTATAGATTGTACCCCAGAAGTGCTTTACGGCCTACCAAAAATCTAGATGAGACAGATAGTAGACGGAGTGCGTTCTTTACCCCATAGGCTGGCCAGATTCATAACAGGTATTCTAAAACCCCTCAGCGGAAAATCTAGTGGTAAAAATTAGGAATTTATACGACTTTGCTGACAAAGTAGAGGGTTTCACCGTGAAACCAGACAACATTCTTGTAAGTTTCAACACCAATTCGTTATACAGAGACGTGTTAAAATGGGACTCTTCAGAAATAACCGAGCGACTGCTACTCGCAAACAACACACCTTTAGAACTGACAGAGCCTACAGTAAATGAAATAGCGGAAGGCATAAGAGTATAACTGAATCTCATTCACTTCATTTTTGACTCCGTGGTTTATGCTCAAAAACAGTGTTTAGCAGGCGAATTTCCAATATTCTGGGTTTTGACAAATTTTTTACGAAGGAATTTCAACAGAAAGCCAGCCGTATTACCTTACCCACCCAATATATTCTGGCGTTTTGTATATGGCAATTTTTTCATGATGAAACAAGGCAAGACAAATGAGTTTTGCAACTGCTTGAATGGCCTGAATTCACACAGCAAATTTATTATGCAGATAGAGTCAACTTGGGGTACACTGTCCCCCATAGACTGCGTGGCACATAATGTCGGAAGAATACTAAAAACCTCAGTGTATGAAAAGCCAGCTGACAATCGGGTAATTTTTAACAGCCCTCTGCTTATCCAAAGTCTACGTCCATTAGAATTGCCTCAATGGTTAGCCGAGCAAAACCCTTTGATCACAAGAAATTGGACAGAATTCCAAACTGAAGTGGAGAACAAACTTCGGGGTAGTGGATATCCAGTCAGTTTTAATAGGCCTCAGTTACAAAGGGTTGTGGTATCGGTGGGGAAAGCTAACAATGAATGGATTTAGACCGCTGTTATTCCATACAAACCAGAGAGATCCGAAGCCAGTTGAAGGATTCTAAACACAATTGATATAAGTTTAGTTCTCCAAAAGGGAAAAACTCTTCAGTCCGCACCGGCGCAATTGAAGGATTGCCTCCAGGTGAACAGAACCAGGGGGCGTGTCTATAAAAACTAAATGCAACGATTGCATCAAGGTCTATCTAGAACAGTTGGTCAGAGCACTTCACAACAGAATCGGAGAGCACAGGAGAAAAATAAGCCGGCCACGGGAAAGCGCAGATGAGTACTGAGCGTTACTGGAAGCCTCAGAAATGGCAGAACATGCACTGGACACAAAACACAAAGTATATTCAGAAAATGTTGAATTTTTGAGGCTGGGATTATGGTTTACGCCACAGAGTCCGAGGGTTGAGGCTGTCGAAACAGCCACGCATCTCAGTGTGAATAGGAATGAGTAAAGAAATAAAATAAATAAAGGAATAGAACGAAAGGTCCCGCAAACGAGTGAAAACGGTTTTAGATCGGTCGAGCTGACATCTTGCTGGTGTGCGGGTATCAGAAACAAGAATGTTCAACAGAAGTAGCTTAGATATGAAGAGTACTTATTCTCACCCACCCACCCCCAAATAAAATGTCGTAACACTTACAGACCCACACAGTGGCACCTTTAAATCTGAAGACTAAAGAACCAAACCCAATCAAAAATAATTGGAGATCCCCAAACCCATCAACGTAAGATTCAGGCACCTGCACTAGCCGACAAGACGCATTCACTGACGTTCAACACTGATCTCGTGTGCTAATCGAAGGAAGTCCTACTGATTGGCTCTCGGTATACCTTAAAACGTGGCCGACATTGTAACCCGGTAACTTGGCCTGACGAAGCTTTTGTGTCAAAAATGAAACATTGCCGAGTTAAAAACTACCGATTATTTACCAAGCCCTTTTGAAACGAATCCTAAATTCGGCTTCCAAGAATTCGAAGCCAGAACTGGCCAGTAAATATAAAGAATAAACACACCACCAAAAGACACAGATAGATGGCAAGTGTTAACCAGAGATAAAAAAAAGACAGACCATTCTCTAGAGATGAAGCACAAATTAAACTTAAAAGTGATGCGGCTTGGAGTCCAGGGCGAGAATTCATTCCTTTTGCAGCCAATACAGTAGAAATGGCTTGACATTTTCAGTGGGAATAGAATAACTCCCGGATTGACAAGCGTGAGATTAGCGGTATTAGACCAGCCAAGTTGGTGCGTGACGATGTGCGGGTTTCAGTGAAGCTGGCCATCAACAGCAGTAGCGTCAGACCTGGATCGCAGAGCCCGGGCCGATTAAACACCACGATTAAACCACCATCCCAGTCCATAATCATCTTGTCGTAGAACTAACAAACACACAGAGCGAAAATTTCAAAACCGAGTGAACTGACATCACTCTCCAATTTCGTCCCATCGGTCATAAGATGTGGTAACTTTTACAAAGCAAACATTTTTATCATTCAAAACCGATTTGGTGTACTGGCTGTCACGAAGAAACTGAACCTTACCGTGGTGTGACGGTTTGTGAACCTCAGCGATCCATTGAGCTATACTGGTGAGTGTCCCCGTGACATTCATAGAGTCTCTCATACCAGGTTGGTCAATGGTTAGAGGTTTGACGAACGCAGTCTCCTGGCCCTCCAGATTGGGGGTTGGAACATGTAGCGACTTGTTCCGTAAAAATGGTAATGCATTTGTATTTGCCGCCAAACACCGCTGCCTTGCTGTTAGGCTTTTGAACCAAAGGCTTTGGTTGAGGACCCTAATTGTCTTCCTGTCTACTGGGCCAGGTTATAGTTATCTTCGCAACTTTAATTAAATGTCCCTTAGTGGCTATCCTGCAAGCCGAAAGTGCTCTCAGCACATTAAACGGTGATTCTCACTGGACGCCATGCAAGCCAGAAACCTAGCTATTTGAAATATCGTTTTGTTTTTCAGCATTTACGCCTACTGAGTGCAGAGTGATTTGTAAAGTTAATCACTCATGAGCATCTATACTTTGATCTAAAGACGGAAAAACTAATTTGCAACTTTTTCCGGTGTGTCACCATAATATCACATTCATAAGCCCACTTGTGCAATTGTTTCACTTAATAACCCATTTTTTTATAGACGAAAGATCTATCACATATATGAAAGATGAACTTACATTGGTGTACCAATAAACACGATAGCATCCCACTCGTTCATAAACTTCATTTGTCCTCGAAGCCTCAGACATCCTTTTTGCGGGAAACAAGTCATTTCTTTTCCGGATTCTTCTATCTCTAAAAGGGAAAGATAAAAATAGTGGACGACTCTTTTTAGTGGATGTACTTTCATGAAATAAACTGAGTTTCTCACAAAGGAAAGTACCAATAAACAAGAGATTCAGCTGAGTCTTCTGAAAAAACAAATTGATTTATGAATGGGAGTATCTGTCGTAAGCTGCGTTTACTTTCGGTGCTATCTCAGCGACTTGTTGATGTTACTTTAGTTACTTGATGTTACTTGATGTTACTTGATGTTACTTTAGTTACCTACGATACACTTACGCGCAGATGAATTGGCTTTTATAGATTAGGATTCGTTGTAAACATGTTTGTCATCATTCTGTGTCAACAGAACAGAAAGCTTTTTAATAAACAGCTGAAACAATTTTCAAGCAAAAGTTTTCGCCGCAAAACAGTGCATTGGTTTCCGCTTGTGGATGAGGTCTGTTTACCGGAATCCCGAATGCGTCAGCCAAATGATTCTGGCCGTAGACATTTCGATCCTGACATTTCCGTATACAGACACTTTAGTTCGCAGACGTTTCGGGTTCGAGGAATTTGTTGATAGAAGGAATCAACAAAACATAGAAGAGAAAGGGTTGCGAAAAGCTGTGGAATATCGGATTTTGTTGCCTAGCCTACACCAAAATTTACCTGAATGTTTGAAGGTAGAAAATGCTGTCTAAAAAACTCAAAAGAAAGATGAAAGTAGTTGATGTAGACCTATGTAGTGTAGTTCATGTCAGATGCGTTTCATAAAAATTAAAGCGAACTCAATAGGAATGCAATCGCAGCTGTAGACGAAGATATTGTTTAGAACAGATAACCGTTGGTGAGTGAAGTGTGCAGCGACTAGCGTTTCCTACACATCACATTGCAGAGATATTGACTTGCCATACGATGAATTTATTTGGGTCCTGTACAGAACCAAAGGTTTCTGTGACTAGCACAACACTCCTAGTTACTTACCGATCTGATGAACACTCACACCGTGTGAACCCGCTGGATATCAATCACGATGTAAAATTACGTGGAACATTTTCCCGTTATTATTAGTAGCTTGCCTATGCTTATATCTTCACTTAACAGCGCAAGGAAATGCAATTTAGTTTTTCGTGAGATGCCAATTTCCGTTAGGTAGGTTGAAAAACGAGGAGGGGATGACTATAGTACTGTGAACCGATTGCCCACTTTGTGTGCTACCAACTGCTCCTAATAACAGACAAGAGAAGCGAATATTCGGTCTAAGCTTAGAGCAGGATAGAATGGAAGACTGCGAAATACGCTTTGTAGTGGAAATGCATTCATCATACACATACAGTGATGTGTTAACTATTCCCCCAGGATATCAGGGTGCATGTAGAATCCAAAGGCTTCTCCCGCAATGCATCGGCTGACTTTTACAGTTGCCAGGTAAAAAAGGAAAATGAACTAAAGCTAAACCTCTCGCACGTATTCGTCAGAATGGCAATAGGCGTCAAGTAACTATCAGGTCTCAGGACTAAAATGTCAGTCGTTTGTTAGTCGACCGGGAGACAGAAAAATAGTTTTTTTCGGGTTAACTGCTTTTGTGTCCATTGAGATGCTTCCTCCAACCTCATTGCAAATGGGTGAACTGAAGCGAAGACCAAGCATCTGAGTATTTTGGATAGAATGTTCATTGCGCAGTAGACGATTCTGAATGGGCCAGCCAGATTGGTCTGGTCAACAAACACAAGATGGATTGGTGGAAGCGTTTATCAATCCTGCGTTATCGCGGCCAGTTAGAAAAGGGATCGACAAGCAGATCCTTTCAAATCATCGGTCTTATAGATCTAGAGGCATGGCCTGGTAGCAGATTAATCAGTCGCAATACGGATTACGTGATCAGGCCTTATGCATTAACATCGATTTGAATTTGTCCCGGTCATGTGACACAAGCTGACAGACCCGCTCGTTTAAAAGGCTTTGGACCATAATCTGTCCAGTCAGAAAAACCTAACTTTCCTGACACCTAGTTGTTTTTGTTGTCTTACCCTCGATTTTATTCGATCAACCAACACAATGTACTCTATTTACCACCAAAACGTTACATTCTGCATATTTCTTGGTCAAACTAGGAAATCCGAAAAACATTGTTCGTCATTTCCTGTTTTTGAAAGCATTATGAGATCGAATCCCAAATTACAGTCTACGGTAGCAGCTACTGACCGATTCTTTGGATCCGTATTCCTACCGGATGTTTGGATTTATCACCGAAACATCAGGTTGCGATGTACTGAACTGCATCTGATAGCACTTATTTGATCAGTTGTGGTACACACCGTTAAATTATGAACCTTGGTGACTAATCCATAAACCTGCATTTCATCGAATACCCTCTCCTTCTGAGGAAACTCTCCATAGAGTTACCTTGCTCGGATTGTGCCTATTTGCCCGCAACAAATTCGTCCGTTTTCTTTTGTGGAGGCCATACGGCGTTTATGCTAAGCAGATGGGCCATTTGCGTAAAACAAACGCGAGAGGGCACTCTTCATGAACGATAAATCGGATCAATAGATGAACCAATCATACGAGGGTCAGTAACCATTCCGAGACTCAGACGTAAAATTCCATCTAACCTTTCTTGAGGGGAAATTACAGAATATCACTTTGAAAATATCAAGACCGAAGGATGACGAAGACACAACCAAGGGAAACAATGTGATATACCAAATAAACTACAACAACTGCAACAAGTTCTACGTTAGAAAAACTGGGTGGAAAATATATGCACAAATGAAGGACCACAACGCGGCCGTTAGAAGACATGATCACCACACATGAGGAACAAAGAGGTCTCATATTCAACCTGAAAAAAGTAAAGATCATGGCATACGCAGGCACGAAACTTGAAAGGGAATCTCTGGAAGCGTGGTGCACCACGACAGATTTGATCAACCAACGCACTGAAATAGATCCAGTTTACGCACCGCTGAGTGCAGAGGACCAATATCTCAATCGGAATACATACAGAGAGCTGAATATCGGATTAACTAACCGAGAAACAAGAAACTTTGGCGTTGGATCAACAAAGGCCACAAACTGTAGAGGGGTAAAGGAGAAAGTTCACTCCAGCGCCGACCAGATTACGAAAGCAGGGGAGGCCAGGCTCAAGGGTCCCGTGGTAATCGATCAGTCAGGGCACAGGGTGACAGAGAAACGAATGGAACCATCCGAAAAAACAACCAATCGTGATCGAAGGCCAGCACATTCATTAACATACACTCAACACTACTCAACGCACAACCACCAACCCGTCGCTACGCTGCACTTCGTGCCATGACGAAGCACTGATGTTGTCACCTCGATTGGTTATGAAACGTTTGCAGTCAAATCGCTCAGCTCAGAAAACAAACCAACGACTATGTTGAAAACCCTCAGTCAAATTATTGTTTCATTTTGGGGGCCAGGTTTCTGGAAAGTCACTTGTTCAGTATAGGTCGCCAAAATGCGGTGAATGTACGTAGCTCAGCTAGGCAGACTAATAGCCACGCCATTGAAATGAAGAAAAAGTGGCTAGTGACATACGATTACCATAGCTAAGAGCCTGTAAATGCCAAAACGGTTGACGTTCAATGACGTTCAATGCACAAGCGAGTTTGTATTCACATCTCGGCTGAATTTTTTGCCCGTAAACATAGGATTGAAGGATTAGACGCGAGAACTGAGGAAACGTGAACTTAACTTCAAGGGCATTCATTTAATTTTGTGGAAAGCACCGGAAATAATTTATTTTGCTTTTTCATTAGACCTTGATTATGTTCTGTATCATAGTTATCAAGGCGAGAGCCTTGGAATCATCAGTATAGAACCTTTTTTCTTCTAGATTTTATTATTTTTCTGTCGGTAGGAATTAGATTTAGGCATAGCAGAAATTGACCTGCTTACTGAAATTTGCACAAGGTCCATCCTGGTATGTTCATACGATTACTGAACCGAGCACAAGGCGGCTAGATGCCAACATGAAAGTAAACAAGAGGATTACTTGAGTGCCTCATTAGCATTACCGTTAGTTGTGACTTAGTATAGTTCCACAGTTGCGTACAGTTCATTGTTCACGTTCGGTAGTGATGCCTATCCCATGAGTCTCGAAGAGGGTGAATCTAGTAGTGAACTGCCGAAATTAGTTAGTTAGTTATTTCGGTCGAAGGATTCTGAAGCATTCGATTGTCTAATTGGAGTATTCCGTGTAGCTTGAGCAGCTGCAGAGCATTGAGCTGGTGTACCAAGGGCCAGTATATCCAGCGCCAGAATGATTAATTAAATTTCATTCCTTTTTTCGAGACACTATTATTTCTGTCAGCGTTGTCAAGCGGCTAACACGTATGGAGAGAGCAGTAGTTATTGGCAGTTCTTTTGTAGCCTTTTAAAACTTCTATCCGCGAGACCAACTCTAAACACCAAAAGACACAACATTTAATGTCCACCAACCACTTTTACTGCTTGATGCTTTAAAATTGACAGAGAGTTCCAATGTGAGATTTTCAACTTACCAGTGTCCACAGCGGCGTAATTGGTACTGATGAGTTCGAAAATATTGTTTGTATGAAGCATGATCTGTAACAGACGGCAGATTGATAGTGAGGCTGTTTGTCTTCAGAAATATGTTTAAAAACAGCTTTTTCCACCAGCTCACATCAGAGGCGAAAGTATTGCATTGTTATTTCGACCACGGTGAACAGAGGCTTCCGGAAGGCCACAACGAGGCTTTCTGTTAGCACTTCGATAACCGTTTTAGGTCTACAGTAAATATTGACTGTTAGCAAAAGAATTGTACAGTAGCTCTAGATATTTATGACACATATTAAAGGTGTTTTCATTAGCACTTTTTCTGAGAAAAAAAATCAGTCGTTAGCAAAAGAATTGTACAGTAGCTCTAGATATTTATGACACATATTAAAGGTGTTTTCATTAGCACTTTTTCTGAGAAAAAAAAATCAGTCCGCGCTAACGGCCTTGATTCCATATTCACAGTGGGTAACCAACAGGACCTCAACCGGAAGTAAAACCATTTTCGTTGATTGATTTCGTAGCAAAAATGAGATCACATGATCGACGAATTTCGCTTGTACACTGGTTTGCTGAAACAAAGATCAGACGATAAGGCAAATGTGTTTTTACAGTAAACTTGGAAAATGAAATGCCTACGCCAACCACGCGCACAGATCAATTGTCTTATCTGGTGCACAACAATAGTTGGCAGATTAAACAGCTTTAAACTGAACCCAAGGAGGTCAGTTCGCTCAAATCCGGTTGATGCAGGGAGTCAACTTGCGGGAATGGAGACTGGACTGAAGTAATCGCAAATTGTGAAGTGGCTATAAATTGATTCAGCCATCAACGTGTTGTGTTGGCTGTAGTGGGTAATCCCCTCGGATGAACAATATAACTACAATACCTTCCAAAAATATTCTAGAAATCCTTGTGTGGATGAACTTGCACTGTCTGTGGACAACTGCCGAAATGTTTGAGCCCCTAAACATATGGCTCTGGTCTATTTTCACGAGATGCATGAAACAAACTCAGTGTTTCACCGTGTGGAAAACGTAAGCTAGTTTGCGGAATCATTCAAGTATTTTTAACGATTCGCAGAAAAATTAAGTGCGCCACTTACAGCGTTCCAATTTAGCTGGATGAGGGGACGTTTCACGAGGAATACGTCTGACACCTTTTTTCCCAAAATGTTTGGGAGCGCATTGGCCATGCTTCTTCCAACATTGATTAGTTTCATGCCTCTGTCGAACACAAAATTGAACGGAAATGCTTCAAAGAACACCCTGGCTGGCAAAGGTTTCTTTTCCGCTGGCCGAACGTAGGAGGTGTTGTCAAAATGTAGTCTGAGAATCGTTGCCGTCTGAAGTTTTTCATCAGCAGGTACAATAACCTGGTGGAAAGAGATAAAACATGTATCCATCTACTTGGCAGACGAAAAATAAACTCTCGCTCACTCGTCTTTTTGGAGATTCAACGGTAAATTTGTCTCAAACGGGTGCAAAAGATTTTCATAAAAGAGACCTTCTGTATAGTAGATATACGAGAAGGACAACAGTAGCTTCAAGCCGCCTGGCGCCCGTCAGCAGACATGGCCCCTGTCCTTGATATCCATACACGAAGACCAAGAAGGCCACAAATTCAGTCTGGAAAACGGAAAAGTTTGGGCATACGGAGACACGAGACACGGGGGAGAATTTCTGAAAGCATGGTGCTCCACTGCAGATTCGATCAACGGGTGTATCGAACTGGATCCAATTTACGCACCTCTACGTACAAAAGACCAACGTTTCAACCGGAACACTCAAGGAGAACCGAATATTGGATTCACAAACAAAGAAACAAGGAACTCCTTGGAGTCAAATCACTAAGGCTCACCAGCCGGGACTCGAAAGGACAAAGGTTACTCCGACATTGACCAGGTTACGACGGCGGGATATACCAAGCTCAAAGGTCACGTGGGCATCGGCGACTGAGGATACAGGATAACAGAGCAACCAATGGAACCGCCCGACCGAACAAGTAATCGCGGTCAAAGGTCATTCTTGGCTAGTAACACGTATATTAACGCACACGCAACCACTAACCCACCGCTACGCACCACTGCGCTCCCCAATAACGCACTGATGATGTCACGTCGATCGGTGATGAAACATTTGCAATCAAATTGCTCAGCTCAGCGAGAAAGTCAGCGACCAACTAGTACATATTTTCCAAATGTTCTCCCTGTTTGCACTTCGCGGTGATTGCCTTTGCTTTTCCATGTAAAGTGAATGCTGTAGCTGCCACGACTTTTGTTGTCTTTCTAAAAGCCACTAGGAGGTTGCAACTAAGCTGCTTTCTAATGCATTCTCTTTGGTCCTTGCTTGGGGAAAAACCATCGAGTCTTATTTACGATTCTTAAGTACAAGTGCCCTTTGATTTTACTGATGCTACTTGAAACCAAATTGCACGAAATAAGCGAAATTCACTCAGTTGCTAACTAATTTGCTTTTGTGCGAGACTCATCTGTAACCCAGCTGAATCTCTCGTTTGTGATGTTTCCAGGCAACTGAATGCGCTGCACCAGGCCGCCTCATGATTTAGTCAACACGATATTCGAGGTATTGCAAGTGAGGGTATTTCGCTGATTTCGTGCAATTTATTCCCAAGTAGAACCTAAGGTTGACGGAAACTCGGAGACCGCGCCTTCCTGATGAGCCCAAGAAGGGCGAAACCGGTCGTGGGCTGTCGACGAATTTTCAGTAACCTTGTGAGTACAACTCGCACTTTACTTTGCTTGTTTCTTACAAACTCGTGGGCTGTCGACGAATTTTCAGTAACCTTGTGAGTAGAACTCGCACTTTGCTTGTTTCTTACAAACTAAATTTGAGCTTAAACATTCGCACATACTGAGTAACCGAAATTGTCAATGTGACAAAAACACCTCGGTCCTGTGAATCACCTGCATTCTTACTGTTTATTTGTTCAGACCGATAAATGTCGTTGCAAGCTGATGGATTTTAGCTCACCCAAAATAACGGGCATTCCGCAGGTTAGTTTGCTACTCTCGTCATCCCACGTCTGTGGCAAGGTGGTTCGTTTGGATGCAAGGGAGGTCCAAAACAAGAGGGAATTCTAAACCTTCAGTTTTCGCCTGGGGTGAAAACAGTTTCGGATGAGTCGAAACTAGGGCTTATTATTCTACAGAGATCGGATTTCCTGCAAAGCCTGGGTCAAGCGCGGATGTTCTGTTCACTCAACTTTAGTTACTTAGTGGTAATCAGCACAGGTCGCTAATGTATCTTCAGGTGTGTCCGGTTAGTTAGGCGATTCGGCGATTTTGGGCTCACGTGATTCCGACTAGGCCTAGTAAAGGTCATCTGGACAAAATAGTTCGTTGTAGCCCTAATTTGCAAAATCAATTTTAGCCGAACTTTAACTCATGCGGAATATCCTTCTATGCTTGGGTTATAATATCGGACAAGTTGCGCTCCTAGAAGTGACTCGGTTTTGTGAAGGTACTTTTGGGACTGACAAGTTTCACTCTCTCGTGAAATCACCCATTTTGTGAAACGTTTCCTAGAAGGACGGTGCTACGCATTGCATTTGGCTTAAAACTGCGTGCTTGCCGATTGAAGAAGTTGCTATGGTTTTGTTTTAGCTGGTCTTTTTTTTAGTTTCCATACATTTGTACGATTGCGGCACATACTTGTTCAATGAGCTTCTGCATGTAAATGGTTCGTATGTGTTCCTGCCCTTTTGTCACAACTCAGGGTATCGTTGCTGTTTTCGGCTGTTCGATTAGAGTGAGCAGTCTGGTCTTCTCCAGTTTCCCTTAATTGTTTCGATTCTTCAGAATCACTAATGGGACTGAAAACACTTTAATGGATGTTATGGAAGCTAAACCGGACTTCAAATTTTTCACACCAGAGACTTCCGAAACCTTATCAAAAATCAGTACATAGACGCATGTTCCTAGAAAATCGCTGCGGGAAAACATTTAATACAGTGATTTCGCCAAAATGCGACCAATTCCTGATAAGCTAAATCACGATAAAATCTGTTCCTCGACATGTGTAAACAAGGTCTACTTCATCATTACAAGTAGATAACCCATTCAACCTCCCGATGATGATATCTCTTCGAGATGTGCAGAAGTCAGTTGCCAAGCTCGACAAACAGATCAACAGCTAACTTATCATCTACAAATACATAATATATGTGGAATTAGAAGCACTTCTGCAGAAGATACTCTTAAACAAAGCTCACGTGGAGGATTTCGGACAGAAAAACGGTCCTGGAAACCATACTGGGTGATATAAAATGGTGCGGCGATCCAAAGGCAGTGTAGTAACTACAGTGAAAGCTGTAGTGGTAAGTAACTAACTAAATAACTGGACGAAAACACGGATTAATTGAGCACGTCCATCAAATTTCGAACATCAAGGTGAAAATAATATAATTTGATAAGGAACCACGAGGTAAATGCACAGACAATATCACATGGGCTTAAAATTGCAATGCAATTACACTGCATTAGCGTTAGACCATCCTACATTTTTGCACCCAGGAACTCTAAGAACATTGTAATTCATTTTCATTCCTCTTTTACAAATTGGAAGGGCAAAGTGTGAGCACATGAAGCACGAATCGTTTCAAACCCGTTTGGATTTTCCAATGAGGGCTTTGTTTCAAGAAATGAACCCATTCGGTATTTACGACTTTAGGTTACTGATATATGTGAAGAGCACTAAGTACTCCCCGCCGTGTATAGTTTTTCTGCCATAAATTCCATGCCTACGATGACTCATAAAACCGAACGTTGACGCACCCACTGTCGTAATTCATGTGAACTCTTGCACCCAGGGGACCAACTCCTTAGTGCGTACGGTGTGGATTTACGCCTCATTTATGGTATTGTTCGTTATTAACCTTGTTAAATTCACCAACCCCATGGCCACGAAGAACAGATCTCTCCACTGTTGGGTTTCGCCTTTTTCTCATATTCTTGAGGCCTGTTCAGCAATGAATCCCCAAATATAGTATACGGTGACAGTGGGTTGTAGTCGTTTGAAAAATGGAGATTATTGAGCCAAAAGATAAGAGCGAACACGTAATAGTGGGTTTGTTTTTGAAGCGAATTCAGGTTGTAGTTTAAATAAGCTTAGACTTATGGCATGGGTATCCTGAATCTATCGTATAAGGGGAACAGTTCTGACAGTCATCGGGTAACATGGCATGTATGCACATAGTCAAACATCACATTACAGAATTAAAAGAGTGAAGTCCCCAGCGGATGTCCATTAACTACAGAACTCGCTACATCCTGTTTTGTGTTATGTTCTTTTCAGTGGTTTATTCGTGCCGCCCATGGGTAGAAACAACATTGCGGCCAAAACACCAATTACCCGGCATGGATAACGGGTATGGGTATACACGCTCAGTGGCCGTTTACAGTCGAAAACCATCTTCACCCTAGGTGATAAAAATTCCACGCCATAGCTGTGTACCAGCCAGATGTAGTGCATATCCGAGGTGTGTTAAAGTTGTCGTTGTGTTCAGAGGTCTCGTGGATGTTAGGGTTCGTGGAGTTGTTGGAGGTTGTTATGTACCTCTCGGAGTTTCCCCTCAATTTGTGGAAATAGGATTTCAAATGAGCTTCTGTAAGCAATCGACGCTTCGGCGGTCGCAGGTTCCTTGTCAAAGCCCCAAGTTATGAAGTGGTGTAATGAAGTGGTATATTTATGTGGAAACAGTGCCCGTTTCGAAGAGCCCTATGTATACGATAGCAACAACTCCAAATTGGCGTTCTCAAAATATGGTAACCATAAGGAGTAGAAAATCAAATAATGACTACACTATTAGTTCTATTAATTTAAAGTTTCCACAACAATCCATTAAAAAATATCGATAAAACGAATTTAATACTCTACAACGGCCGCGAAGCTAATTTGAACAGAGTAGTGGATAGCCGTAAATTGGGGGAGGCACGGTCAACCTTATGGAAGCTTCGTCACAAAATTCCTTTGAGAACAGAGTTCATTAACATTGCAAACTGGTGTGCTTTGCCCTCTCACCAACTGGTTAAGAGCAGCTTCTTCTTCTTCTCAGGAAAACTTAGAAAAACTGGATAAACTTTATGAAGTCGAGGAGCAAACCTGGAAGTTAGACTTGAGCCATACGTTTATTTGCTACAGGCATGATATAAACTCACTGTGATTTTCATTTCCGTCTTAAAAAAAGTGAGTGATACTGCTTCCATGTAGCCGATGAAAAATGACACATAGTCTGCTCTATGTGAGCGGTACTCAAGAGTGATACCAGAGCGACTTTCGTTGACGCAAAAGAACGAAGGAGGTTTCATTTCTGGATAGCTGCATCGAAGAAACTCATGCAGGTTGTCTAGTCCATTTAGGAAGTCTTTCAGTTGTCTCCCGAGTACGCGCAAAATTCCCCCATATCCTTTGTTGCACATAAATCGTACAAAAGATTTTCCCATTGCGTATTTAATTTCATCTTCTGTAATTTGCAACATTCGACTTGCGGTTGTGAACAGGTTTGGCAGAATGGCCTCGTCGTACACCTGCTTGCTGTCAAACGTGTAGGACCCATAGCCGGATGCTTTTAGAATTTCTCCCCATATACTCTCTGAGTACTGGTCACTCACATAACTTTTGAAACCTTCAATGACAAGCCCGTACATCGCGGAATTCAGCCTTAGTGCGTATTCTCGCAATCAGCACACCAATTGTCCACTTAAGAACATTTATATCAACATTGTTATATAGACCACAACCACTTTCGTTACCATAGGTGACCACGGTTAACTCCATGCCAGGCAATTTAGAAGCGCTAATGCGAGTTGGAATATCTACTAAAAAGGCAGCTACGCCCACCATGAAAAAAACAGCACATTTAGCGGCAAATGTCAGCTTGATCAGTGCTGAATTATTCAGCGGGTAGATGAGAATTGCAACTCACAATGGGCGAGGCCTCAGTTCGCTAGTCATTAACCCTGGCCTGCTTTTTATTCCCTTGGTGGCTGATGTGGTCGGTAGTGTATATGTGGGAGAAATACACCCAATTTTGTTTTTCACTCCAGACCACTGAAACATTTCCGTATTTGCTTTTACGAACTGTGGTCCTAAGAAACATTTTACTTTGTGCGGTGGTCTATAAACTATACCGAATACACGACCTAGGGGCACAAGACAATTCAAAGGCGAAGCGACAAAGTTGCATCTCTCATAGCTGAACCACAAGAAGGTTTTACAGTGCAGAAATCTAAAAGATTGCTTCACTTACACTGAACCCGTTAGGTTAATTCTTTGTTGAAACTCTAAGGTATTTTTGCTCAGTGCGTCGGTTCAGCAAAGGCTGAGAACTTCACAGAAGACAGTCCATTAGTTCGCGTCAATGTAGGGCATTTATCAGCTAGCCAAACATTTCATCACCGGATCGCCATTTGCTGACTGTGTGAAGGCTGGGAAAACACCATCGTACACAAAAGTGCACGAATCTGTGGGAGTCAGAGCGAGAAGGGTAGAACTATTGATGTAGTTCACCAGCTCAGTATCCCGAAATTCATAAAAAAACGGTGAACCGAAGAACGGATTTTTTGTCATAAGGGGGATGAAAGTGGCTTCTTGAACACATTTTTGTTATTATGAACAGGAAGCAAACCGAATTATCAAGTCAACTAAGGGACAAGACTGAAAACAGGAGTGAAGCTGACCTAGAAAGCTTTGTCCGCTGACTTGTTGAAGGGGATGAGAAAGTGCAAATAAAAATAACAATGAGGGTTTTGCAGGAAACAGGGAGCAGTATAGCAGCTTCTGACCCAAGAGTGGTAGTTACAACCGTGGTGAAAGATCTCCTGTTTCTTGGGTTCTTTGAACTACCACATCTGTTATTCGTAGATTTCGTGTTATGCACACCCTGGCTGAGTCCAAATAACCCGAACCTATTGATGGAGAACATACTGTATCGCGTGCTGTCTACATGTAGACGAGTAACTCATTCGCCTAGCAGAAAAAAGATGGTAGGTCGCACCTATCACTTGTAAATGATATGGCTTTAATTTGGTTTGTATTATCGAAATTGCTCGAATTAGTGTTCGTTTGCCTGCTAACACTGATACAAAATGAGTTAGTATATTGACTTATCTCAACGTTACTTTCGTAATTTCTCAGTACATACACTTTACAGTTCAACTAGACCTGCCGTTTAAGATACTGGAAAATGATCTTCGTCGTATCGTTTAGCAAAAATTCCGCACCGTTGAAAGTGCGTAATCAGGAGGCGTCCTCAGTCGTGAGAAACAACTAAGGTTAACTCGTCCTTGCTATTTGACCAATCCTAAATGTCATTAGGCACCTACACCTAAGTAGGTGGATATGTGGTGTTTTGTTTTTCAGATCTTTCTTTCTAAATTAATTTTAAGGCGTTAGATGGCCGAAATGAAATTATGGGCAATTCGTTTTAAAGATTAGCGAGGATCAAAACGAAACATTGAGGACATCTTGCAAGGGTTCATTGTCTCGCTTAGAAATACGTTCCTGTCTCAGCTTGGAAGCCTCTCGCGGTTATTCATACCTTATACTACGTACAAAAGATAGAGAGATCTAATGGGAAGGGACCACTCTTAACGTTAGTTCACAGATAACCATTCTTTGCTACGTTTCTATCGGGTTCACTCTATCTGGAGTAGAGTGCACAAGCGTCAAAAACTTAATTTGCATTGTGACGGTCGTTCAGTTGTGTTTTGGTAGTTTTCTGAGACGATTGACATGATATATGTCAAAATTACATTTGGAACGGTGTTCACTTTCCGTCCCGTACTAACAAGTCGAAATTAAATGTACGGCTGTCAGTCTCTTCGATAGGCTTCCCAACACGCGATGGATCCCATGGAGAAAGTGAAACAACAGTGGCTCATACCTACTTATAAAATATGAGTAACCTGTTTAATGGAGAACATCCCGAACATTGATCACCTGCAGGTTGTCACTCGCTGCTTCAGTCAACTGAAATGCGCGACACAAAACTCTCTAGAGGAGGCGAGTGGTAGTACCATATGAGTGAAGCTAGTCAGAGCTAGTCAGACCTAAAAATCTGTTTTCCCTTGTATAACCTTCCGCAATGACGTTTTGTGCACAGCTGATGATGCTTGGCAAGGGCGCGATGACCGTACTGCGCCTTGATTCGCAACAGCATTTCGAACGTGTCTAAAGTTGTTGTTGTGTTGTACAGATCATAGAGAAAATTCGAGTAATAAATCAAGCATGATTCATATCTCGCAATTCTACTTGTTCCATGAGCCACCGTTGAAAGTATGTTGTGGACATAAACGGAAACATTGAATCAGTGTAGACTGACTTTTTAGGTGACAGAGTGAGCTGAAAGTTATAGATGTCACCACCAACCTCAAAATCCAGAATATTCCCATCCGAAACAAGAATGTGCTCTTAGGTAGTTTGCAGTACCCTTCAGGGAAGGTCCTACGGCTCCATCTCAGCTGCGCTTTTTCACAGTGCAAACATTGCCTGGTCCGATTCAATTTCCCTTAGGTGTTGGGATGTGCTCTGCATCTTAAGTTCATGTTTTTGTTCAACCCCATTGTCCTGCTTATCCTCGATTATTGGATTGCCTTACCTGTGGCCCCTCCAAATAACTGTTACAATCATTTCCACTTGTAAGTGCATTTGTTCTAGGGATCTACTAGGATCATCCCTGGGATAACTTTGACTTCTTGCAGTTTCGATGTCACTCGGGCCTAGTGGGTGAGTAAACAATAGTATACCTGGTGATACTGAACAACCACGTGATTGGAATAACTTCTACACATCAAAACGTTGTCGAATGTGGTAAACATACCTGCTGCACTTGCAGTTTGCACTTAAAACCTGAAGCACCTTCAATGGCCACCGGAAAGATGACTGTACGTCGCAGAAACGTGGCCTAAACAGCGCCTTAGTAGGCAGTTTGACACTACACACTATTCGTGTCCCTTGTAGCGTGGGACGTCAGGAAGTCAGCGGTATTCGATGTTCGAGAGGATGTAGCGACGGCACACGTCAGTTCTGAAATGTGCAGAGATACGGACTGGTATTAATGAGTCCACACGGTATGCACAGCACACATGCGCACAGGTCGAGTGAGACAGAAGAGAACACCGGAGCGTGGTAACGACATGCGTGTATTCGAACGAAACCGAAACCGGAAGTCGGGGGTGTACAAAGTTGGGTCAAGGTCAGTTAGGGGGTGTACAAGTGGGATACTCTTCCCTATCCAGGGCCCGTGGTGACTCGTCTGTGGTGCCTGCAGTAGGGGGGGGGAGAGACGGAGGCACACATAAGGTCATATGTTAAGCGTGCAAGCCAATACAGTCAAGTTTCAACTGCGTTACACCCTCCCCACTCGAACTCGGCGCCATCCCTTCGTGTTGTGTCTTAAAGTGAAATTGTGTGCGCCGCTTTGGTCCACTCAAATAGGTACATGAAAGTTCTCCTTCTTTTGGTTCCCTTCAAAACAATTGACTTCCATCAATGGCTACTCCTTCTCTAAATTGGAAGTGAGGGTCAACTCCTTCCCGTGGCAGTTTAACGTTCTGTTAACTGTTCTGGTGCAGCGTTCTTCGGTCAAACTTCTTTTGTTTAGGACTCTCCTTATGATCAACCTAGCTCATATAAACATGGCTTGAACCAGAACATTTTGCTGAATATACTTTACACCGAATATATTTATGTGGGTCTGTCATAGTTCAGTCGTTTTGAGTTTACCTGATGTATCCACAACTATCACATCTGGATATTGTAGCGGGAAGTGAGCGATCTTAGCACATACACCTAATACTTCGCCTGCAATGAATGAGCGCTCATTATTGTTAATAATTCTGGTTGTGCTGGTAATTTAAGAGCAGGTATCGAAAAACGCTGCATTATTTAATGATTGGTTGTGAGTCTGAGAATGAGTTCGTCCGTAGAAAAGCAAGTGGTATCCCTTCTGTGAAGTGCACCTGGTGTCTTCTATCATTATACTGAAAGCAACGAAAGCCTCCCAATAAACCGTGTCGAGCCGAGGTTCGCTGAACAAATTAACTAATTTCAGCCTTAGTTCCTCGCTGTTCTGAACCATTCTGCATCCCCCAAATGGTGGGTCTGAAGATGCACTATGAAAGAAATACTTGTTAAGCTAACAGCCCACTCATCTACACAACCAAAACTGGTGCGCCTCTACTTGACAAGACGGTTCACACCAATGCTTCGTCGTCGTTTGCTCATAGTACACAGGCTCTGAACATCTCTATTCTACCCCCATACACCAAACGTAGTTGAAATTTCATTTGCCTCCGCGACTTGCCTCTCCCAGTGGCTGCCTGCTGTTTGCTTGTTCGAAATGACTGAGCTGTTGTGGCGTCTTATACCTTAGTTTAACTTCTATTACAACACTACGTATTTCATCAATTGCATAATCGTTTTTTTGTTTGAATACGAAAAACTACAAAAACGCGCACTTGTAC